ACTTGACTGAACATTTGACTCTGTTTTCCCCCATTTGAAAGCCTTAATAATGAAAAATGTTTCCTCTGCTGAATCCATTCAGTCATGTCTATGTGCTGGAGTCTGTCCTGGCTCAGTCCTCACCTCATGTCATGTCTGTGGGAGTTTATTTCTGGACATGTTGGACCTTTAAATGGCTGTAAAGGTTTTTTTAGGGTCAAAATACAAACGTTCCCACGTCTGAAAGCAGGAAATTGTAAAAATTCTGGCAAAATATTTTATAGAACTTGGGTCCAAAATAGCAAAAGAGTAAACTTTGAACAAATCCAACACAGAGGAGTGTTTCCTGTCTGATGTTCTGAGGTTCACATTCACTGAAAGACTGAAGCAGCTCAGAGACTCTGTAGAGGAGGAAGATCAGGGAAGCAACAGGACCACAGGCTGGAGGTATCCTTATATGGTCACGACAGGAGGAGGAGGAGGAGGAGGAGGAGGAGGGCGGCTGGAGGAGGAGGAGGAAGGCTAGGAGGAGGAAGAGGAAGGCTGGAGGAGGAGGAGGAGGAAGAGGAAGGCTGGAGGAGGAGGAGGAGGAAAACTGGGAAGAAAAGAGGAGATGGAGAGTTTACACACTGAAGCATAAAAGTGTAATTGAGAATATTTAAATCAGTTTTATTTGTGTTTTGTTAAAGCACCGATCTGACTGTAAAGAAGAGACAGGAAGTGAAGGGATGACTGGAAAACAACTAGTCGGTCATTTAACAGGAAAACTAGAGTTTGTTTACTGGATTTAAACTAGAAAAAAATTGTTTGTAAGGAAATGATAATATGAATACTCAGGACTGAAAATATAAAAATATTAATGTAAACTGTTATTTTACAGATTTTACCTGTTTGGTTAAATTACACATAATATTTAGTAAAAAATACAGAAAAAACAACAACAACAAAAAAACTCTGATGCTGTTGAAATGTTGGGATTCATTTTCTGACAAAGTTTGACAGTAAAAACCAAAAAGTTTTTATGCTTTACTTTAATTTTAATTTAATTCCTGTTTAATTTGATGCTTTAAATCAGAACAGAAACCGTTTTTGTTTTACAGATATTTGCAAATACTTAAAAAATTCTGTATATTTAGGACTGAAAAATAGTGAATGTTGTTTCTTTAACTCCTGTTAAAGTGACAGCATGAAGCTTAATGTACACAGAGACGTAGCATCCATG